CTTGTCATAACAGACTCAATGGGAAGAAAACACTTAAAGCAAAAAAGAGGGTATGTCATGTCATTTTTTCTTAAGCCTCATATATTGAATTCTCTCTTCCTCTTTCAGTTTAATCTCAAAAGAAAATGAAAAAAATAAAATATTAACTTAAATACTGAGAATCATAATTGGCTTTTGAGGGGAGTATCAAAAATTACTGGGCGCAGTAGGTTGCCTACCATAAAGATGATGGCAAATAGTTCCATAATATAACACTGGCCCAAGACATAAATTAGGGAGCCAAGCAACTATTTATTTTTTTATTTTTTATTATTATTTTTATATGCCGCCCTTCTCCGGAGACTCAGGGCGGCTTACAATACGTTAAGCAATAGCCTTCATACTTTTGTATATTTTATACAGTCAGCTTATTGCCCCCACAAACTGGGTCCTCATTTTACCCACCTTAGAAAGGATGGAAGGCTGAGTTGACCTTGAGCCTGGTGAGAATTGAACTCGCAGTAATTGCAGGCAGCTGGATGTTAAAAGTTGCCTTATTAGGAGGCATTAGCCTCCTACACCACTCAGGCTCCACTAAGTCAACATAGGCATGAAAAATAGCATCATATCCCCAAACAGCCAAATTACTTTAGCATGAAGCTCTAAATAAGCAAAATATATTCTTGCATTCCAAAGTTATTTGGAAACATATAGAAGCAGAAGACCACACTTAGAATACTGCATCCAGTTTTGGTCAACACACTTTAAAAAACTTTCTGTACTCTTTAGAAAGAGTACAGAAAAGAGCAACAAAGATGATTAGGGGACTGAAGGCTAAAACATATGAAGAACAGTTACAGGAACTGGGCGTGGCTAGTCTAGTGAACAGGACCAGGGGAGATACGATAGCAGTGTCCCATTATCTGAGGGGCTGTCACAGAGGAGGGGGTCAAGCTATTTTCCAAAGCACCTGAAGGCCAGACAAGGAATAATGGATGGAAACTGATCAAGGAGAGATTCAATTTAGAAATAAGAATTTTTCTGACAGAGAGAACAACCAAACAATGGAACAGCTTGCCTTCAGAAGTTGTGGGAGCTTCATCACTGGAAGCGTTCAAGAAAAGACTGGACTGGACATTTCTTTCAGAAATGATGCAGGTTTCCTATTTGGGTGGGGGGTTGGACTAAATGACCTATAGGGTCTCTTCCAACTCTGTTATTCTGAACTTCAGAAACCCATATAAGAATCATGGATGCCTGTTTGCATTCAGTGGAGGATGCACTAACAAAAATATGTATTCAAAAACAAAAATATGTATTCAAAAACATGTAAAGGAAAGTGTAAAAATTAACATCCTATTTTGAAACTATTGAAATCTTCATCCTGACCAGTTATCCATTCCCTTGATTTTGTTTTTTTACCATCTAAATATCCTAAGAAATGTCAAGGAAACTCTAGATCATCATAAAAGGCAATAATTTGATAAGCATATTTAATTCTGGACATTAAGCATGGGAAAAAAATCAATGGATTACAATCATTTCCCTGCTTCAAATTTATATTTACATATGTAAGATTCCGTAGTTTCCCACGTAAATCTTCACTTTGATCTTGGACAATTTAACATAACCAGTTTCAACCCTTACGGCAAAACCACAAATGTCCTAAATTACTCTTAATTTTATCATTTGTTCTTAATCCCCTTCTATCCAATTTGATACTCCAGACTACAAAACTTCATCTGGCTCCTATATGCCTGTCATTTGGGGGAGGAGGGTGGGGGGAAGAGAACCAGGAACAGAAACCCATATTGAGTATACCTGAAGTTGGTGAAGTCGAGATAGAACAGGAACATGTTGGAACAAGACTACTAGAGCTTTGGGTGGAGAGAATGTTAATGAAATTTTGATAGCATGGATTTAAACTGTCTTCAGGAGCCAATTCCTCCTGGGGTTTTACGTAAGAACACACACACACTCTGAAAGTTGCCTCAGGTACTTACAAAAAATCATTTACTCCACACCCAACTTTCAAGGAGCAATTGTGCAAAATGATACAACTACTTCATAGGCTCTTACAGAAGAGAAAGTATTATAAGTATCACCAAAAATAAATCTGTATTGATAGAATTAGGAGAATAGCATGGTACAATGATTAGAGTATCTTTCATTGATCTGCATTCCTATTATTTTGGGCTAAAGTTTCCATCATGAGCAGCCACGATGACCAATGATAGGAGTTACAGACCAAACATTTGGTAGAATTTAGTTTAAGGACGACTGAGTTACTGTATCAAGCTATGACTATGGGTGATAAAATTTTAGATTCTTAATCCACCATGAAAGTTACTGAGTGATCTTGGGCCAAGTTATTCATTCTTTCTCACAGTCAAACCTACTTTACACAATTGTTTAGAAGTGGAGTGAAGAAACTATGTACATTGCCTTGAGGTTCTTGGGAAAAGAAGTGAGGCAAGAAAGTTAGAGTAGGTGGAGGGACACAAATTACCCTAGTACTTGTTTTTGGTAAGTCAAAAAGGAATGTAATCTGGGTTGGGCATCATGACACAATCTTTTACTAAACAAATTGAAGTCATCATTAAAAAATATGTATCTTGCAGGTGAGAGTCTCAAGCTTTTCAGGGTTACTGCACCAAAAGCACTTGCCTACCGCTTAAATAATTTTAAGAGGAAAGATACAGAAGATCCTTAATGAGAATTTTATGATGAATCCTACATCCATAATTCAGAATTCAACTATAAGATCAAAGCCCTCATTTGCAGGTCTAGAGAAACTACTGTCCTATGTGCCTCATTCTGTAGGTAGTTTCATATAGGTTAACTGAGCGTTTAGATTTAATGAATGCATTCAAAAAATACTATAAGCTTTCTCAATCTTAATTGTAATCACGTTCTTTTGTGGTTTGGCATGTTGGCTTGTTTGGTTAATTTATTATTCAATATGTTGTGCAAACCAAGAAAAATGGGTATATTAATAATCATTTGAAGTGTGTTACGCAAATCCAATCCCTATTTCTTCCAACTCATTTATCTTATTGCCAAGACACTGTGCCAAAGTTAGGAAGCATTTGCAACCAAGATGCTTATTTTATTACCTTAATTCAACAAATTATATTTTTACACTGATGCAGGTTTTTGCTGGTCTAAATGGTTGTCTTGACACAGTTGTAAAAATATATTGTTCTGACTTGGGGAGTATAATGGGACACAATTATGATCCTAACATTTCCTTGGGGGAATATTTAGGGTTTTGCTTAGTGTTTTTTAAAAACATATTATGGACATGGGGAAACCACTTACTAGACAACTCAGGACCATTCAGTAATTGGAATAAAAATGGTAAAAATTGGTTTTTGCAGAGCACATCAGATTTGGCTGACAGTATTATCAGCAAGATAACTTGGAACAGATGTGAGAGAAAACTACAGAAACGTATACAAATCTTTTTCTGCAAAGAACAAATTCTAAAAATGCAAAACAAATAAGGAGAAAAACATGTACTTATTTGGAATACTGAAAAATATTTCACAAATATTGTGAATAGTTCTGCCTCAACCACAACTATGAGGCTCAGCAGTTTCTCACTGAACTGAGTGGACATATTTTAAATATATTCCCCTCTACCATCATGTCCCAGGACTGGAATACTGGTTTACTGAAAGGAGTTCTGCTTTTTTTAATCTCTCTAGTTTGTTCTAGGTTCTCTCTTTGCAAGAAAACAGCACTTTACCATCAATGTATCCAAGACAAGTACAGACTACTGCAGTTGTTTCACTGTTTGAAAACAAGTACTGGTTTATTATATAAAAAAAACATTTTGAATAAACAGAGTAAAAAAGAGAGAATCTAAACAAAAGCCATTACAAATCTGTAAACCAACAATGGATTAGGAAATTTCTACAACACCTAGTGCCTTTCTTTAGTTAAAGTTACCATCTTTTACTTAAATTCCTTGGAGATTTTAACCCTAAAGCAACACTTCAATGGTTCATGCTTAAAAATAAAACTACACGAAGGTGCAAGAAATATTTTGGGCTTCCATTGTCAAATAATTGTTTAGTGAACACTACATTATACTTTTACTGTTTGGTACAGTTGTGAAGGAGAAAAGCTTGATAAGCTTTAAGCAACTGCCAGGAATTATCTTCTACCACACATAAAATCATTGTCAACCAAGGCATCAAATAGTATTGTTTGGGGGGTGGGGGTGGAAGAGAGCCCTCCAAAAAGAATCCCACATTACTCTGAACAAAATGAATGTGAGTAATGCAATTATATTTTGGACAAGAATGGCCTAGAGTCATGTGCCTTGGGAGAATGTGTGTTCTGCTTGCACAAGAATCTGAATTGCTGCAAGGGAGTAAAAATAATAAAGCAAACTAGTAAACTATGCAGTGAACGACAGATGAAAGCCTTTGGGGTTTAGAAGTTATAGAAATTAGGAATATCATTTTATAAATGTTGGCTTTTAGTGCTGAAAGTCTTTAGCATATGCAGCAGTGCAGGTGTCTTTCTTTTATAGATCCCAAAACAGGAAACTATTAGATAGTTCCCTGTTTTGATAGATAGAATTCTATCTATCTATCTAGATAGATAGAATTAGATACCGTATGATTTTTATGTACTTGTTTTGATGCTTTTTTTTTCCTTTGTGAAGTTGAACATACTATTTTTATTATAGATTTAAAATTAATATTTTAAAAAAGTATTCTGGAGAGGCAGAAAATTTGATTTTGAAGGAACTGCACAGTTCAATGTAGCACTAGTTTTAGCTGTAGTAAAAATGGGACATTTTTATTGAAAATGAGCAGTTATTTAAATTCTAGTTTCTATAAGTAATAATATTGATCAGGCTTGAAAAAAGCTGTAATTCGGAATATATAAATCTCACCCTAAGCAGTCCACTGCTAACGGAGAACAAAGTAACTTTTCAAAGGCTTAGATATAGAAAAATAACAAAATCAATCATAAAGCTAAATTAAGAAATGATGCTATTCGTGTAAATCATATTGTTCGGTAACTATTATGTTTTTATTATAGCATATAGATTAAAAAATGCATGGATTATATTGTGCAACAACCTACAAAAACAATACTAACGACAGCTTACATATCAACTCCACTACAATTCACAAATCTTTTGAAAAAGGGAAGACCTATATGGAAAGAAGTGGCGTTTTTTTTTTTTTTTTACTCTTTCTTTTCACCATCTTCTGAAGTTATTGGGTCAGCTGGGGGTTCTTCAGCTAGGGCACTATTGCTTTCTGAACCAGTATTGCTATCACTTGTTCCTTCCTCTGCCATGCTTTCAACACCTTCTTGCCCACTCTCCTTGTCTTCAGGAGTGGACGTCCCTTCACCATTCTGCTGATTCTCAATAGCTTCTTCTGGAGGAGGTTCTTCTGTCACACACAGAGACACACACACAAACACAAAAAATGCTGTGAGACTCTTAATTTGAATTACTAGAATATTTTTCAAGAACAAGAGGACAGACAAAATATGAAAGTAGGCAGATAAAAAAAGGGAGTCCTAAAAACTATCAGGCATAAACGCTCAATGATTAATGTTTTCTGCAGACCATTCTGTCCTCAATTTACAACTACAATTGTGACCAGAATGTTCCTTGTTAAGCAAGATGGTTGTTAAGTGAGTCACACCCAATTTTATGAGCAAATGGCAATTACATCACCCTGGGACACTGCAACATTGCACATACATGCTGGTTGCCAAGCTCCTGAATTTTTATCATGTGACCTTGGGGCTGTAGTGATGTAGTGTAAGTATGAGGACTTTTTCATTGTTGTTGTAACTTTGAGGGGTTGCTAAATGAATACCTGTATACTAAAATACAGCCAAATTCAATAATTTGTAAATTGGAAAGAGCTCTTACTGGGGAGATCAGAGATATGAATCAGATGTTAAACAGATACAAGATACACCCATTCATGAAGAGTGAATGGGTGTCCATCTGAATTAAGGTAAATTCCATTTTTCTGAAATGAACTTCTGGGTTCTTAGGCATTGGAAGAGGGTTATGATGTCAGGGAACCCTTCACAATTTTCTACTTCTATTGAAAATATAAAGGTTTTAAAAATTATCATCTCTGAAAAAGATAAGGTTGATTATTTGAAATCTATGGAAGGAAGCAAGAGAAAATATCTGAAAAACAAATCTCCATATGCAATGTACATGGCTGAAAAAAGAGTCTACTTTATAAACTTGTCCTCTATTAAATTAATTTTTCCCAAAGACCCTTTTTAAAGGCATTATTTTCTTTTCATCTCCAATATGTGATTGATGGTCACTGCACATTCCAATCACCTGTTTCCATGGGAGGAGTTCCCTCTTCTTTTTTCTCCTCTGCCTTGCCGGGTGTCTGCTCCTCCTCAGTGCTCATGCTGGTCTGACTGCGTTCAGCTTGCTCTGCAGCCTCTTTCTCCCTTTCTTCCTGCCGCTTACGAGCTTGTTCTTCAGCCTGTGCAATTTCTGCTGCAATTTTCTCCATGTCCACTTCTACTTTCAGGCTGCAGAGCTAGCAAGAGAAGGGAAAGAAATAAGACACTTTTCAATCCAGAGTTCTTATCAGAATATTTTTCTATTCTACTACAGGCAGTCCTCAACGTATGAGCACATTTGAGCCCAAAATGTCTGTTGCTAAGCAAGACAGTTGTTAAAGGAATTTTGCTCAGTTTTACGGTACCTTTCTTGCCACAGTTGTTAAGTGAATCATTGCGGTTGTTAAGTTACTAATACGGTTGTTAAATGAATCTGGCTTCCCTACTGACTTTGCTTGTCAGAAGGTTGTAAAATGTGACCCCAGGACCCCGGGACACTGCAACTGTCATAAACACATGCCAGTTGCCAAGTATCTGAATTTTGATTACATGACACAACAGTTGTGTAAAAAACAGTCATAAGTCACTTTTTAGTGCCATTATAATTTCGAACAGTCACTAAATGAATGGTTTTAAGTCGAGGACTACCTGTACTACCATTCAAACTTTTTTCTACTAAAGCTTCCCAAAGTGGCTTTATAACAATCCACTGCATAGGCAGTATGGCAACTTTGCCAATCGAATACTCCTTGCATAAACTGGATATTATTATTATTATTATTATTATTATTATAATATTTATTTATTTAATTTAATTTATATACCGCCCTACTCCCAAAGGACTCAGGGCGGTGAACAGCCAAAAGATAATATATATATAATACAAATGTTAAAAAACCATTAAAATACAATTAAATAATTTGGCCCAGAAAACAAAATTTAAAACACCCCAAATTTATAAGACAAATATAAAATTTAAAAAAAATTAAAACAGTTTAAAAGAGAGGTTAGGCCAGGCTGGCCTGCTGGAATAAGAATGTTTTGAGGGCACGGCGGAAAGCGCGCAGATCCGGGATCCTCCGTATCTCCGGGGGGAGTTCGTTCCAGATGGCAGGTGCCCCCACAGAGAAGGCTCTCCCCCTGGGGGCCACCAGTCGACACTGTTTGACTGACGGAACCCTAAGAAGCCCCTCTCTATGGGAGTGTACTGGTCGGTGAGAGGCTACTGCAGAAGGCGGTCTCGTAGATACCCCAGTCCTAAGCCATGAGCGCTCTAAAGGTGGTAACCAAAACCTTGAAGCGTACCCGGAAGACCACTGGGAGCCAGTGCAGCTCGTGCAGGAGGGAGGGTCACATGGGAGCGCCGCGTCGCTCCCATAACCACCCGCGCGGCCGCATTCTGGACCAACTGGAGCCTCCGGGTGCTCCTCAAGGGGAGCCCCATGTAGAGAGCAATGCAGTAGTCCAGGCGGAAGTGACGAGGGCATGACTGACCATATTTAACGAGTCCCGATCCAGAAAGGGACGCAACTGGCAAATCAGGTGAATCTGATAAAATGCCCTCCCGGCCACAGCCGTCAAATGCTCTTCTAAAGACAGCTGTGAGTCCAGGAGGACACCCAAGTTGCGAGTCCTCTCCGTGGGGGCCAACAACTCGTCCCCAATAGTCAGTGATGACACCAACTGACTATATCGGGATGTCGGAAACCACAGCCACTTGGTCTTGGATGGGTTGAGCCTGAGTATGTTTCTCCCCATCCAGATCCGTACAGCCTCCAGGCACCGGGACATCACTTCAAGGGCATCATTGGGGTGGTCCGGGGTGGACAGCTGAGTGTCATCAGCGTACTGGTGGTACTTCACCCCGAAACCACGGATCATCTCACCCAGCGGCTTCACATAAATGTTGAACAGAAGGGGTGAGAGGACCGACCCTTGTGGCACCCCACATACAAGGGGCCTCGGGGTCGACCTCTGCCCCCCTGCCAACACAGACTGCGACTGGTCGGAGAGGAAGGAGGAGAACCACCGCAACACGGTGCCCCCCCCAACTCTTCCAGCCGGTGCAGCATGATACCATGGTCGATGGTATCAAAAGCTGCTGAGAGGTCTAATAGGACCAGGACAGAGGAGCAACCCCTGTCCTGAGCCCTCCAGAGATCATCAATCAATGCGACCAATGCCGTTTCCATGCTGTACCCAGGCCTGAAGCCCGACTGGAACGGATCCAGATAAGCCGATTCATCCAGGTACTGAGGGAGCTGCCGTGCTACCACACTCTCAACAACCTTCGCAACAAAGCGAAGGTTGGAGACTGGACGGTAATTTGCCAACACTGCCGGGTCCAGGGAAGGCTTCTTGAGGAGAGGTCTCACCACCGCCTCTTTCAAGGCAGCGGGAAAGACACCCTCGCTCAAGGAAGCATTTATAATCCCCTGGAGCCAGCCTTGTGTAACCTCCCGAGAGGCCAGCGCCAGCCAGGAGGGAAACGGGTCCAATAAACAAGTGGCAGCATTCAGTCTACTCAGTATCCTGTCCACGTCTTCAAGAGTCACAGAATCAAACTCTTCCCAGATAATATTCTCAAGACCTGCCTCCAACCTCCCCCCTGAATCTACCCCGTCAGAGTCCAAGTGTTCCCGAATCTGAGCGATTTTATCATACAGATACCGTACAAAATCCTCGGCTCTACCCTCCAAGGGGTCCTCCCACGCTTCCTGAAAGAGCAGGGAGCGGGTCACCCTAAACAGGGTGGCCGGGCAATTATCTGATGATGCAATAAGAGTGGAAAAATAGTTACATTTTGCCGCTTTTATCGCCACTAGGTAAGTCTTAATATGAGACCTTACCAGTGTTCGGTCAGATTCAGACCGGCTGGCCCTCCAACCGCTCTCCAGGTGTCTTTTACAGCGCTTCATCTCCCTCAGCTCCTCAGTAAACCAGGGAGCCAAGCGAGATCAGCTCCGAGTCAGAGGCCGCAAAGGCATGACCCAATCCAAAGCACCAGCGGCCGCCTTATCCCAGGTGGCCACTAGGTCTCCAGTCGAGGTGTGAGCCAGAGCCTCAGGGAATGGCCCAAGCTCCGTCTGGAACCTATCAGGTTCCATCAGGCGCCTGGGGCGGAACCATCTCATCTGTTTCGCCTCCCTGCGGTGGGGTGTGGCAGTTCGAAGGTCAAGGCGAAGGAGGGAGTGATCTGACCATGACAAGGGCTCAATCACTATATCCCCTATCTCAAGATCACTCAACCACTGTCCAGAGACAAAAACTAGATCCAGCGTGTTTCCCCCCGTGTGAGTAGGGCCATGAACTAACTGGGTCAGGTCCATAGCTGTCATGGAAGCCATGAACTCCCGAGCCCTCTCAGACGTCTCACCTGCGGATGGCAAGTTAAAATCCCCCATGACCATAAGCCTGGGGGTGTCAACTGCCACCACGGCTATCACGTTGAGTAGTTCGGGCAGGGTTGCTGCCACATGGCAGGGAGCCAGGTACGTGATCAGCAAGCCCATCTGTACTCCATGACCCCACTTCATAAGGGGGGACTCACAACCGGCAGTCTGAGGAACAGTGGCCTCCCTCGGCCCAAGACCTTCTTTAATAACAACCGCCACCCCTCCGTCTCTCCATGACCTCGGCTGATAAAATGCGCAGAAACCGGGTGGGCACATTTCAACGAGGGGGACCCCCCCTCCTGACCCAACCAGGTCTCCGTAATACCCGCCAGGTCCGCTCCCCCCTCCTGAACAAGATCACAAATGAGGGGAGGCTTATTTACCACAGACCTGGCGTTGCACAACATCAGCCGAAGGCCCGGGCCCTGAGGATCTGTGCAACCTGGGGAACAAGCAGAGCATTGGGGGCCGGAGCACGCCACCGCTCGGAAACAGCAAGCATGCGCTCCCACAACTTGATATGGCCCCCTGCTCCCGCCATTTTAACTCCTATTAACCCAAGAAAAACAAATTCATTAGAAAATGATGATATAGTAGTTATACTAAAATCCCAGGAGTGTTAAGAGGTTGAAAACACAACTATACATCTCTAGTTTGACTCTCTAACATTTACTGTCCCATACACACTAATTCCAAAACAACAAATGCATCATTTTTATTACAAGCAATACAACTGTACCAAATATATCATGGCAAAATGGAAAAGCCAAGTACCAAAAGAACATAGAATTTGGAGAAGGAACAAAGGAGGCTAATCCACATGCCAGACAATGAAGAAACTTATTTGTCAATAGTGAAATTTCTAACCAGACAGGTCTAAACCTGTTGAAAAATTCTTCAGTGATTCAGTTATAAATCTAAAGTAATCTGTAATTCTTAATCAACACTATTCATTTTACAATACTTTTAGTATTGCATTTATATGGTTTTACTGAGTGCAATGAATTGACCTGTTCAATTCATTAACAATTCAGAACTGGTTTTGACAGTTTATGCAATGTTATAATATCTACAGATAAGCTGTTTATCATCAGTTTTCGAAGTTCTTTCTTTGAAAGAAAAACAAGGAACTTTAGAAGTAGGAAATCTAAGAATTCAATGGTTTGCTTACAATGTAATCTCAGACATGACTAAATGGAAGTATCACTAAGTTCTAAAAATAGGCTAAAATACAGATTTATAAGAGTATCCATAGGAATGGATACACCAAGTATAATAAATGAGCTATCATTGGTCATGCAGCATTTAATACATAAACTGTATTCAGGTCTCAAATAAAGAATGTGAATACACAAAATGCAATATTTTCCCACCGAAGATAAAGAAAATGAAAATATAAACTATCAAATAAGACAAGAAAATTAATCTGAAATTGTTTTCCTGATAATTTTCTACTTGATGGTATAGTCAATCATTTGAACTTGCTCATCAGATGGCAGGTGAAATAGTTATACCCAGATATATAATGTAGTGAAAATGTAGTACATGGGTATCTGTCAGCTGTTTTAAATTCCCTCCTTAGGTAAGGAATTCTAGTTCAAAAATCTGGAAAGCCAACTACTTCCAGCTTAATGCTTTGGTTAGAAAAGCTGTGGACTTTTTGGCCTGTATTTCTTTTATTTTAAAATTAGCATTGGTGCAGAGGGTGGTATTTTACCTCCCCCCCCAAATTATTCAATAGGACGTAGGAATTTTTTTTACAAAAGGTATCAGGAATCCTTCTTCAAATATAACTAATCCTAGATGCAGGTCATCATGTATGTATTTTTTTGAATTCAGGCTTCATTTGTACTAATGTCCAATAGAATATAAGATCCAAGCACAAAATACATTAAAAAGTGAAAGTATGATTTTCCCCCCGGGCAACTTGCAAGTCTGGGGCATCACAATATTAGATTTAACATGCACGTCTTCTTTCCATCTGAAATGAAAAAAGATCAGGGACTTCTACATATGTTCAGAGAAATCAGAGATGTTCTAGAGAATCCTACCCGTTTAAGCTCACTGTTAAAGGATTCCGTGCTTTCCAAAAACTTCCTCTTTTTTTCTTGATGACGTTCTTCTATTTGAAGGAGTTCAGCTTCAAGTTTACGCTGTGTAGAGAGGAAAATGAAAGTATTATGTGAAAAAACAAATACACATTATTTGAAATATAAGTCAATATCTTTTCTTTTCCCCTCTCTTTCCCCCACTATTTGCTTCCCTTTTTCCTTCCCTAGTTTCCCTAATACTTGCTTTTGTAGTTTCTTTGTATGTTATATTATCAACTAATAAAACTATATATCTAAAAAGAAGAGAATCTTTTTCAAAGCCTTGCAAAAAAAGAAATTGCTTCCTTTATACATTCTGCTCTTATCCATTAGATGGGACAAATTTAACTTCAGGATAGATGATAGATAGATAGATAGATTAGATAGATAGATAGGATATACTATAAATAGGTTTCAACATTGTAGAATTAAGAATTTCAAAAGTAGATAATTCAGAATAAGCCACTTGCTTTGTGTTCTAAATATTAGCAGCTACAACATTAAACTGAAAAATCTACCAGTATCTGGAATTTAGCACATATGTAGAAAACTAGGTTCTGCTCTTTCCATGTTAATGAAAGTATTTGGCAGTATCTTTAAAAGCATCAGCTTCTTGTTTCATTTAATTCAATAGGTGCATTTTTGTGATAGAACGCAAAATATACAGAAATATTTGAATAGTCCACACCTTTTTTGTTATACCTTATCTCCCAAAAGATACCATCTAAAGCAGTGGCCCCAACTTTTTTGGAAGCAGGAACTAGTTTCGGAAGACAAATTGTTTTCTACGGATTGAGCTGGGGAAGGGATGGTTTTGCTCATTCTCCTGCCGCTTATGGGCCCAGTTCCTAATAGGCCATGGACCCATACCAGCCCATGGCCCGAGGACCCCTGATCTAAGGTACTTAGATGAGATCTCATTCTTTATCCCTCTCCCAAAAGCAAGCCAGAGAGGCGAGCTCTATGAGCAGAAATATTCATGGTCTTACCATGTGTTTTCAAATATAAAAATTAATTTGGAGGATAATTCAAATCTGCTTCATTGACTCACAGAAAAATGCCCATTTGAAAAGAATGGGACAATATGAAAATGTTAATAGTGGGCAAGTGATACAATCCTTCATGCTGAGGATAAAGAAAATTCAAAACAAACTATTAATGAACTCCCCCTACTTCTCTGAACTCCCTAGTTATTTTATAAGAAGGAAAAAAGATCTGCTGCTTCTTCACTTTGCATATTCTGATCACTGACAGAACCTATACCAACAAACTGACAGATTGAATTTTTATAAAATATGGGAGGAAGTGCTATTGCATACATATATCTGTTGGATATAATAATCTATTTCATTTGGAAAGCTACTGCTGCTGAATTCATATTAGCTTGAGTTATCTCTCCATAAGCATCTTTGTGGTTTACCGGCCCTCAATTTATACGTCAATTGTGTTTTACATAGACACACAGTCTGATTAAGGAGAAGCAGCAAAGACACTGCTGAAAAAATTATTTTGTCTCATAATGGTGACTTAGACTAAACATTATTTCAGTTCTTGCTAAATCTATGATAATACCACATAATAAATCTGATTTATGTAACTGCAACATTTGTAGTAAAGCAAACCTGGAACAGCAAAATCAAGAGTTTTCTCAAGTTAAACATTATAAAAAAGATCTGAACATAATTAAAATGAGTGATGGAGATCTATCCAATGATCTTGCAGTTATTATCAAACAATAGGCAAACTACATTATAAACATTTATGATTCTGGATCCACTGCGTTAAATAAACTCTTCCTAAATCCTACCTCACCTCATCCCATCCATTTGGTATTTATATTTTACCTGATGAACCATTAATGACTGGACTTGGCGTTTGAGGACTTGCATTCTTGCTGTAGTAACCACAGATCTAACATCAGGGACTACGCTTTCACTCAGGATCTCACTAATTAAGCGATGGTTTCTCTGGAAACGGGCAGTAGCAGTATGTTTCATAGAAAATCCATCATCATAATCTGAAATAAAATCATGCAGTGATGACCATATAACCCTGGCATAAACTTTATTCTGTTCCTTTATTCCTTTCTATCAATTTAATCCCCTGGATAAAAACATTTCAGCTTTTTTTCCTGAATGCCTGATTTCTCAAAAGTTGACATTTGCAAAATAAAAATACATGTAAAATATACACTCACACAGGCTACTAAAAAGTGATCATAAAATTTAATTTTCCTTACCAAAGAATGATTCAATCCTGCAAAGTTAAAATAGTTGGTTTTCATGTAAAGAAGTTCAGTGAATAATAACTTTACTAGGCTAAGGATGCATTCTGAATGTGTATTACTACATTTCATATATTGAAGGCTTGCATATATTAATATGGACCTTGCAAAGTAATCTCTAATCAGAGATTGTATAGAATAGCATAAGTATACTTGGAGTAAAACTAGGGTTTGGCTGCACTTGTGGCATATTAAAATGTGCTATTTTAATTAAAACTGTCTAATATAGCGGTTTTCAACCTGGGGGTCGCGACCCCTTTGGGGGTCGAACGGCCATTTCAAAGGGGTCGCCAAAGCCCTCTCTTGCCCCCCCTCACGCCTTCACTCACCCTCACTCTCTGCTCTGTTGAATCGCCGGCCGTTCGCTTACCCCGCCCACTCCCAATCTATTGCTGCCTCCTGAGTCCCAGCTGATGGCTAGAGGGAAAAAAACTGTTTAAATTCTTGCCGCGGGGCTTTGTTAAATTGCTGGCTCGCCCCGCCCCGCCCCTCCGCACCACTATTTATTGCCAATAAATGGTGGTGGGCGAGGGGCAGGCGAGCCAGCAATTTAACAAATGGTTTGGTGGTTTTTTTGTAATTTTATTGGCCCGCGGAGCTTTAGCATAGGCTAATTAGCCCTTGATTAGATGGGCTCCCGACTCTCAGCTGATTTGTTCTCAGCTGTTTTGCTCAGGGCTCTGCTGCTTGCTGGAGAGATTTTTTTCCCCCTAGTTATGCTGAAAAACGAAACTGAAAGTAAAGCAAGCTGTTGGCTTTGCTGTTGCTGCAACGTTGGAAAATTAGCCAGGCAGATTTTTTTTCTTTTTCCTCACCAAAAAAGGTAGGTGCAAACAATGGGAAATTTAGGGAAAAAGAGGAGAGTTCAAGATTATAAAACACAAAAGAAAAAAAGCTCTATTTAAGTAGAGAATTGTAATAATTGAGATACTATTAATTGTATATTGTGTTGAAAGCAGAAATGGTTAAGTTGTGTTTTGGAGGAATATATGGGGGAAATTATTTGGTTTATTATTATTGGTAAATATAATTAATTGATTTGTAAGAAATTGAATTGCATGGAAATAATTGGAATATTCATGTTCATATTTATTAATATACAAAAAAGGTAGTTATATAACTAATTGATTTATATTAAAATGTTGAATTTATATTAAACAACTATAATATTACATAATTAACCAATGTGAAGATGGATATAAAAATAGATGACAATGGGAAGGGGTATAATATAGAATAGAAGGGAAAAATTGAATTTGATTAAGATTAGAGATGAAGATGAAGGGTAATATTGGTTTTTTACAAAAATAGATGAGGAATAAATATGGCAAAAAGGAAATATAGAAATTGTAAATTTAATTGAAATGACTAAACACTGTTTAAATTTGTGAACCGGCCAAATACTCTGTTCAAAGAAAATACATTGTATGTTTATATGTGTGTTTCTAATTATTGTTATTCATTCATATTTGTTCTCTTTTATTCTTTAAAGTTTAACAATTCATTCTTTATCTTAATATCTTTATATTTGTTTGGGGTTGGCTTTCTTCCCTTTCATCATTTTAATTGTACAGCAATCTTTCTCCTCAAACCTACCACCTCTCTCTTTTCTTTCCTTCTTACTTTCTCTTCCTCCCCCTCTTCTTCTCCTCCCTTCCTCTTCCTTTCTCCTTCTCCTCCTCTCTTCCTCCCTCTCTTACCCTCACTCCTACTCTAATTTCCCTTCCCTTCCTTCATCCCTCTCTATTGCTGTATCCTTTTATGCAAATGGACTACTCAGAGGGCTGAAAAAGTTATTTCTGACTGGTCCTCGCACTTTTGACCAGTCCTCGAACTTACGACTGTCCTCACATTTTATGGTTTTGCCCTATCTTGTCACCATAGTGAAGAGAAGCAGTTGTGAAATGAGTGACATGGTTGTTAAGAATGCTACAATGGGCATAAATGATGACCAGTCATAAGTGCGAAGACTGGTCAAAAGTGCGAGGACCTGTCAGAAATCACTTTTTTCAGCCCTCTGGGTAGTCCTTTTGTGCATATGGACTACTCAGAGGGCTGAAAAAGTTATTTTTGACTGGTCCTCACACTTTTGACCAGTCCCCGAACTTACGACTGTCCTCACATTTTACGTTTTTTGCCCTATCTTAGCACCATGGTGAAAAGAAGCAGTTGTGAAATGAGTGACATGGTTGTTAAGAATGCTGCACGGGCATAAATGTGAGGATGGTCATAAGTGTGAGGACCAGTCAAAAGTGCAAGGACCTGTCAGAAATGACTTTTTTCAGCCCTCTGAGTAGTCCCTATACACATAGCCATGGCCACCCGGTCACATGACCAGCTAGCCACACCCACCCAGTCACATGACCTCCAAGCCACGCCCACAAAATAAGCCACGCCCACAGAACCGGTAGTAAAAAAATTTAGAACCCACCCCTGGTTGGGGGTCACCCCAACATGAGGAACTGTATTAAAGGGTCGCGGCATTAGGAAGGTTGAGAACCACTGGTCTAATATAATCCATACTATTATCAAGCAATACTTTAATCAGTATAAAAATGACCAAGGGTGTAACCTAGTCTGTATTTTATCAAAAATAACAATATTTGGTCAAAATCTTGACTAATCAAAGATATGGTGAGTAGTGCAGGTCAATATATGGGTTTATTTGGTGATGATAATAACATATGGGAAATTGTAATTTGATATGTAAGAGAAATACATAGTAAAAAACATGAATTAGCAAATGAAACAAACGAATTAAATTTATGTTAGCTGTCTACGTAAACAAAAGAAATAAAGAGATATAATAGAACGGAATCTGATCCAGTGGGATTGATGAACATGTGCAGAGAAATTAAAGTGTAAATTCAATTATAGATAGTCCTCACTTAGTGGACACAATTGGTATAGACAACTCCATCGCTAAACAAAATATCATGTTACTTGTAAATGACTTACATCATCATTTGCCGTTTGGTCAATAAATGAGTCACCACAGGTTATTAAGTGAGACATCCCATGACCACAACTAATTATTTTACTGCTGGCTTGTCCATCGACTCTTCGTCAGAAGCTGGCTGCGAAGTGTGCAAATGTTGATCATGTGACTTCAGGATTCTGCGACAGTTCTAAATACTTGCTGGTTGTGAAACCCCCAAATTTCAATCATATAATTGCTTACTCAGAAAGGGATTAGAATTATTTTCAATGAAAAATTGTCATTATGAAGCAGCAGCTTTGACGCAAGCAAGTGACTGGTTTGGAAGGATAAAGACTGGAATATTGAATATAGAAAGTCATGATCTTGAATTTGGTTGGCATGCATATTTATTCTATGAGAACAAAGTGGATAAAGTATTTAAAAGCCACATACTTAGGAACTCTTTGATGAGAGTTTGGAAGAAGCACCGATTCAAATGGGATTACAAAATACCATTATGGCTTGGTCATACCATGTGGAATACAAATATAATGTCACTCGGGGGGGGGGGGTTATACAAACAAGTTCTTTTTATGGATGGGGGCAGATGGCAACTAAAGACATTAGAAACACTGTTGGAAGAAGGGATTAATTTAACTTGGCTACAGTATAATCAACTTCAATTGAGATGGAAAGATCAAAAAACTGGTATAATGATGTATGAAGAAGAATTGGTTAGACATATAAAAGAGAAAGATCCAATGCATATTAAGAGGGTTTATAATGTTTTGTTAGAAAGAGATTCGGAAACTGAACTGGTTAAAGATTGTATGATAAAGTGGGCACAAAATTGTGCAGAACCAGCGATGTTGGAAACATGGGAAAAAATATGGGTCCAGAATGTTAAATTTACACAGTCGCAGAATTTGAGGGAAAATTTTTATAAAATGTTTTATAGGTGGCATTTAGATCCTAAGAAATTATCGTGTATGTACCCTAATGTTCAACCAAAATGCTGGAGACGTGATTGCTTAGATGCCACATATTATCATATGTGGTGGACTTGTAAGAAAGTGAAGGCTTTTTGGATAAAAATTTGGTGGATATTCAAAATGTTTTGAGGAAAAAACTTCAGTTTTCTCCACAACTGTTTTTATTGGGTATAGTTAAGGGTTTTACATTGGGCGAAACAAAGCTGATACTGTATATGGTGACAGCAGCGAGATTATTGATAGGTCAATATTGGAAAAATGATGCTTTGCCCACTATTGAAGAATGGACTTTGAAGATGGCCAGTTTTGCAGAGATGGCGAAGATTTCAGTGTATTTAAAAGACCGAACTCAAGAGACTTATGTATGGGAGTGGAAAAAGTGGATAGACTATGTGCAGAATAAATATCAAACTAGGAAATATCAGATAGCTTTTAGCTGAATGAATGAATGAATGTATTATGTAGGGATAGATTAATTGAGTTTTATGAAGGTATAAATGGTATATGGGGGTGGAGGGGTTTAAGCTTCATAAAATGTATTTTTGATTAGGATTTTATTTTGTGGAAGTCCTGGGGGGAAAAGGGAAGGGTTAGGGAGGGTGTTTTTTTTGGGGGGGGGGCTGGGGAGAAAATGTATTTGTAAAACTTTTCAAATAAAAAAAAAATTGTCAGGAAATAATTATTACTATTCAAAGACATGTTTTGTGGCATAATAGATGAAAAAAAGCTGCAGAAAAGGGATTCCGGTCTTTGCAACTTGCAAATTTCTAATGTCAGATTTAATCTATCCAGCAAATTCATATAAACAAGGATAACTTAGT